TACATCCAGCGACAGCAGGGTCACCGAGGAGGCTATGGCGGTCGGGGGCGTGGCGGAGGCCGAGGTTCGAGAGCTCGCACGGACCAACCTTCTGGCTCCCAACAAAATGCCGGCGGCGCAGTGCAGGCCGAGATAAGACAAGAGACAGGGACAGCCCCCTTACGGGGAGTGATTAACACAATCGCAGGTGGTTTCGCTCGGGGCGGTGCCAGCAGCTCGGCCCGAAAGAGGCACCTCAGAATGTTAACTGCATCCACTCTACCACCTCGGCCTCGCACCAAAGCTCACCGCCAATCTCCTTCTCTGACGAGGACTACGCGGGCGTCAACCCCAACCAGGATGATCCCATGGTTATCATGGTGGAAGTCGCCAACTGGGAGGTACAGAAGACACTCATTGACCAAGGAAGTTCGACCGACGTCCTGTACTGGCCGACGTTCCTCAGGATAGACGTCCCCCAGTCTCTCATCCAACCTCACACGGAGCCCCTAGTCGGCTTCGCAGGAGAGCGAGTTCACACTCGCGGGTACGTAGACCTACTAACAACTTTTGGGGTACCTCCGAATACAAGAAGAATCATGGTTCGATACCTCCTCGTGGAGGCCAACACCTCCTATAACATCATTATCGGGAGGCCAACCTTGAATCAGCTCGGAGCGGTGGTATCTACTCCGCACCTCACCATGAAGTTCCCAGGGAATGACGGTAAGATCATCTCCGTCAGAGCAAATCTGAAGACAGCTCGGCAGTGTTACGCCGAGAGTCTGAAGATCTCCTCGTTCGGCAAGCAAAGCAAGGGGGTGCCCCCACCGTAGCTCCTTAAGTTCCATTTCTCTTTTCTGTATGAACGAAGTTGTGCACTCTTTTCCCGCCTCAGTCCTTCACTGAGAGGGTTTTAAACGAGGCACACAAAAATGATCAATAAAATCACTCATTTTGCTCAATCCACATTCTTATTTATTGGTTTTATAAAGGACGCAATCGAACCAACCTCTTTCACTCTCATCCGAGGTCGAGTCCGAACCTCGTTAAAATTATGAGGTCGAGTACGAACCTTAACACTCTTATCCGAGGTTGAGTTCGAACCTTTACAACGTGCTACGTAACAAACATACAAGGTCGAATTCGAACCTTAGCGCAATTCACTCTACTTCAACCCGAGGTCGAGTTCGAACCTCGGCAACATTCGTTTTACTCCAAATCGAGGTCGAGTACGAACCTCAATACACTCACTCGAGGTCGAGTACGAACCTCGGCAACATTCGTTTTACTCCAAATCGAGGTCGAGTACGAACCTCAATACGCTCACCCGAGGTCGAGTACGAACCTCGGCAACATTCGTTTTACTCCAAATCGAGGTCGAGTACGAACCTTGACAAAACCCGTTTTACTCCAGATTGAGGACGAGTACGAACCTTGATGCGTTCATTCAAGGTCGAATCCGAACCTTGATGATATTCATTTTATACAAAAACTGAGGTCGAGTACGAACCTCGATACAATTCATTTTACGAAAACCCGAGGTCAGGTTCGAACCTTAGGACGTCCATCTAAGGTCGAATTCGAACCCTTAATACAGTCTAAAAACAAGATTGAGCCCGATAAGACAGAAAAATAATCAAAGTAAGGAAAATCGAATCTCGAAGAACAATATATATACAAAACACTTGCAGAGTTTGACACTTGAGTTCATAGGAAAATACTAAACAAGGAAATGAAAAAGGGAGAAATAAACTAAGCTATTACAAAGGCGGCCTAGGTTGAGGCATTCTCACTAGAACTGTCATCGACATCGTCCTCCTTGACCAGCCTCCCAAAGCGGACAACCTTCTCCACATGCATGGAGGAAAAGTCGAACCCGGGAGCAAGGAGCCGTGCCTGACGAGCAGCCTTTTGGAAGCCCCTCTTGTGCTCCATCACAACGGAGCGTTCGACCTCCGCAAGCCTCCCTTCCACGGCCGCCTTCCCCGCTGCCAGCTCCGCAAGCTCCGCCCTCAAGGTGGCAATCTCGTCCTCCCGGCCACCAAGAATGACCTCGCTACAGAGGCGCTCCTCAGCCGCCACCGCCAACTCTCCTTTGAGAGAAGTCACGACATCCTCCAGAGCCCGCACTTGGCCACGGAAAGATGTCACCTCATCCTCCAAAGAGCGGGCACGACCCCGAGAGAAGGCGACGAGCTCTTGCAGCTCCCCCACCTGGGAGGCGTAAGCCTCGTTGGATCGCAAGGCGATCTCAAGAGACTTCTGCACCCTTGTGAGGTCGCCCCTCGCAGATCGAAGCTCGGCCTCCCGCAGCTTCGCCTCACCAAGAGCAGCACTAAGAACCTAGTTCTCCTCCCTCAGGCTCTTATTAGCATCCTTCCAGGGTTGAAGTCGGCCCCTCAGCTTGGCCAGATCCTCTTGCTGCTTGGCCCACCTATGCTTCCAGTGGCCCATGATGGTCATAGCCCTCTGCAAAAGGACCTGAGCTGCGTCAAATCTCTCAACAGGCCCTGCCCCTTCGATCATTTCTTGGTCCCCAGCGCTCACGGAGCCTGTGGGGAAGAATTTCTCGGCGGTCACCCCCGCACTCCATAACGAGTCCATGTCAGCCGAGGCACTAACA